ACAAAAAAAGAAAAGAAGAGAGAGAGAGAGAGAGAAAGAGAGACAGAGAGATAGAGAGAGAGCGGGGGATTGTGGAGTACATCGGGGTCGAGGGCGCGCGCGTGCGTCTTTGAATGCTCAGCGCGCTCCGTGGCGTGCTCCACTCTCCTCCTCCTCCTCCTCCTCCTCCTCCTCCTCCTCCTTCCCTCCTCCCCCTCCTCCTATTCCGCTCCGCGCTCCTCCTCCTCCTCCTCCTCCTCCTCCTCTTACCTCCTCCTCCTCCTCCTTCCCTCCTCCGCCTCCTCCTCCTCCTCCTCCCCTCCTCCTCCCCGCCTCCTCCTTTCCTCTTCCTCCCCTCTCCTCTCCTCCTCCTCCCCTCCTCCCTCCTCCTCCTCCCCCTCCTCCTCCTACTCCCTCTCCTCCTCCTTCTCCCTCCTCCTCTCCTCCTCCTCCTCCTCCTCCTCCTCCTCTTCCACTCGTCCTCCTCCTTCTCCTCCTCCTCCTCCCCCCCTCCTTCTCCTCCTCCTCCTCCTCCTCCTAGAAAGCTTGTCCCCGTCAGTTCCCCCCACCCCAAAAGGAAAAACAACAAAAAGAGACGGCGATCGGCGGCCACTTTTTGTTGCGGACTGTTTGTTGATGAGAGAAAGTCCTCATCCTCCCCCTCTTTGTCCTGCTCCTCCTAATTCCCTCCCCATTCCCCCCCCCCGCCGCTCCGCATTTCCCTCCTCCCACTCCTCCTCCTCCTCCTCCTCCTCCTCCTCCTCCTCCTCCTCCTCCTCCTCCTCTTCCTCCTCCTCCTCCTCCTCCTCCTCCCCCCCTCTTTCTACTCATCTTCCTCCCAACTGAAGATTTCCTGCTAGGGACTCCTTGCTATGATGCAGCGCTTACCATGGGCTAACCAAAGTTTAGCAAAGGTTGCCAAGGGCCAGGGCGTACAAAGCATACCAGGGGGTCACCAAGGCCTACCCTGATTCAGCAACGCTTACCAGTGATTGGCAAGACATAGCAGCGCAGGGCAAATATTGCCAGGGAGTAGCACAGCGCAACAAAGCTGAGCACGGCCTCGAGGGCCTCGCAGGGTCTACCAGGGCTTGGCCAGGCTGAGCAAAAGTTGTCAGGGTTCAGCAACGGCTTATCATGGCTTACCAGGGCGCACCAAGCATACCTGATATTAGCACGACTTGCCAAGCTTCAAGCTTAGCAGGGCTTAGCAAAACTTGCCACGGTATAGCAACACTTACTGGAAATTAGCAGGGCTCAGCAGGTTGTACGAGGATTTAGTAGGGCTTCGCAGATATTGCAATGACTTAGCAGCGCTGAGCAGGCTCAGCAGGGCGTAGCAATACTTGCCGCGCCTTACCAGGGCCGACCAAGATTTAGCAAGCTTTACAACGATTCAGCATGGCTTAGCAGGGCTCAGCAAAGCTCAGCAAGGAAGCTCACCAAGAATTGGCAAAACTTGCTAAGGACGAACAAAGCTCAGCGGGGCTTGCCAGACTGAAGCAGGGCTTAGCTTCTTACCAAACCCAGCTGGGCTTAGCAAGGTTCACCACGCTTTCCCATGCGCAGCAGAGTTTTCCAGAGATCAGCAGGGCGCATCAGGAATTATAGCCGCTTGGCACAGTAAGAGGCCTTAGCAGGGCTTACCACATCTTAAGAAGGCCTACGAAATCTTAGCATGGCTTAGCATGGCTCAGCAAAGGTCAGCAAGGCTGTATTCGCAAGGATTAGAAGGGATGGGAAGAGCATGGCAAGGCTGAGCAGGGCTTAGGACGGATTCCAAGTGTTTGCTTCGAGACTGCCAGGGAGTAGCAAGTCTTAGCATCGCTTAGCATGGCCTAAAAGGGTCTACGCTTACCACACTTAGCAGATATAGTCAAGACGTAGCAGTGCTTAGCAGGCCCAGTAGGGCTTAGCAAGGTTTACAAGGCCTTAGCAGGGCCTACCACGTCTCAGCAGTGCCTGACAGGGTTCAGCAACGCGCAGCAGGGCAGAAGACTTCGAGAGGCTCAGCAGGGCTTAGCAAAGCTTGCAACGGCCGAGCAAGGCTCAGCAAAGCCCACCAAGCTTAACAGGGTCTAGCAATGCCAACCAAACGCAGCAGGGCTTAGCAGATCTTGCCAGGGCACAGACAACCGCACCAGGGCCGAGCAAGGGTTTGCGGAACTTACAAGGGCTTAGCATTGCCCGACTGGGT